AACTCATTTTCATTTGTATTTTTCTCTCATTTTTCAAAATTGAAGCTTAAAAGGGTCATTCATTTTTCTAAGTGTTACTGAAATTAAAACTAATAAAAAATGTCAATTTTTAATTTATTTTATCTTTTATCTTCTTTGTTTTTTTGGTAACATTTTTCTTACAAACTTAAGTGAAAGAAATGCCATTTTGTTTTTGGAATTTTTATAGAAAGCTATTTAGGCTCTTGTACGTCTGGTTTACAACTGCGGTGTGCAAAGAGTTCGGTCAATCAAATATAAAGCAAAAATGCCCTCTCCGTATTCTAGACAAGGGAATCCTAATCTAATTTCTTCATAGGTGGTTTTCTAGGAAAACTTATCCAATGGGTGGTATCTCTCTAGGTCATTACATGATTTTTTAGGGGGCATTAGGTATTTTTAATTGTCTATCCATAAAGAATTAATGAGAAATATTTCAAACGCTAATACACACAATAATATTTACATCACAGAGTGCTGTATTAACACCAGAAAACAACCTTACAGTAGATATTCCAACTTCTCAAGATTAAAGAATTGCTCTTTCGCACAAGATTTGTCATCGGGTTGACCTCACTCAAACTAATGCTTCATGTCGAGTGGTAGTGGGCAAGAACTTGTTCTCGCAGGTGTGTGAATGCAGCATGATAGAGCAAATGAATAGATAAGATAGCTCGTAAGGCATGTAAAGCAAATAATATCCAAGTCACAACGCATGTCAGATAAGAAAAATAATTTAGGAATGATTATTTTATATTATCTTTTAGTATTATATTTTAATATAACTTTATGTGTCAATTAAATAATTAGTTATTTTTATTTATTTAAAAAGTGTATTATTAAATGTATCTATTTATTTAATAATATGTAAAAAACTAAAAATTATATAAAAACTAGGTTAAATGCTAATTTTGGTCCTTCAATTTTATAGTGTTGCACAATTTTCATCCCTCAACTATTTTTTGCACGTTTTTTATTTCAAATTTCTAAAAACTGCACAATTTTGATCCCTTCGTTAGTTAGAGTCATTAACTTAGTCCATGTGGCATTTTTCTTATTTCTTATAATGACATGTCAATGACAATCATACAATTAGCTAAGGTGGACAATGTCAAATTGCCAAGTCAAATTCAATTATCATTTTTATTCTTTTTTTCAATTCTTTAAATATGAAATTACTAAAATGCCCTTAATTTATTCTTCTTGCCATCAATCTCTTTCGCACTTTCTCTCTTTGTTCTCTTCACCACCACCATTATTTCCAGCCATTGTTCCTTAATCTTCATCACTATTTCTCTTCTCCCCTCCCCCTCACCTCCCTTGCAGAGATGATCTGGGTTTGTGAGGAACTCGAACTATTTGGGTTCATTGCGAACCTATCTAGGTTCACGAGGAACCCAAGGAGGAGTTCACAATGAACCCAAGGAGGGTTCTTATGAACCCATCAAAGGGTTCTCGTTGAACCTCGAAATGGTTTTTTTTTTTTTTTTTTTCAAATCTAGTATCTACTTTTTCTTGGAACAAAGTGCCTTATCTTTCAATAAAATGCTCAAGATGATTCAGAAGAGATTGAGATTGGTGGAAAGCAAAGAATTAAATTCCAAAAGCGATTTTTTATCTCTTGAACCAAATTAGTCTTATGCTCGTTTTGCTTCACATTTTGTAGTTGTAATTTAAGTTGTATCTGCTGAGACTAAAAATGCTCTAAAGGCCAAAACTCACACATCTCTATCTTTCTCAACATTTTATTTTCTTTAGATGTGTTGTAACATCAAACTGTCAAATTTATTGTTGTTATTGTTAGTAAAGATGAGAAATAAAAAGCCCTCCTTTTCGAAGAGAGAAGGAGAATGAGGGCTTAGATGATTGGGAAAGGAAAAGGGAGCAAGTAAATGGCTAGAGAAAGGATAGGGAGGGGGAGATAGACAATGGCAGAGGAGAAGGGAAGCTGAATAATGAGAGAGAAGGAGAACCATGAAGAAGATGAAAGTAAGGGTAGAATTGTATTTTTATCTTTTAATTTGTAAATTGTTTAACGTTGTGGAATCTGACTTGGTATTTTTATGTCCACATAAGCTAATTATATGATGTGTTATTACACGTCATAAAAAACATGTGTTATTTTGGAATATTTTAATAGCCAAGTGTCATTTAACTAACAGAGGAATTAAAATTGTGTAGTTTTTGGAGTTAAAGGATAAAAAAAATACAAAAAATAGTTAAGAAACGAAAATAATGCAACACTATAAAGTTGAGGAACCAAAATTAGTATTTAACCAAAAAATTATCCTGTCAGTAAACACCCAACACAAAAGGGAAAGGACTAATCAAGCATTCCATGCACGGTGCAAGTGGTAAATAACAATCAGTTGCTCACATTGACATTGGGATTTTAATCGATTTTATTTATCCTTATTTAATTTTATTCAATTTTTTTATTTCCTTTTATTCAATTTTATTTCTTTGACCATTGTTGGTTTTAAATTTCTACTTCATTCTATTTATTTCTTTTTATTTCTCTTAATTCTTATTTAATTTCTTATTTTACTTTTCCTTTTAAGCTATCTATTTGGGCCATAGGACAACTAAAATCCAACTCCTTAAAGTCCATAATAAAATTCCAACCTAGCCCAATCTGAACAACCCAGGCCCAACTCTGCCACGCGGATCCGCTTCAGATCCAAAAACCTGTCCAACGATGATCACCACAATTTCAAGATTTCCAACGATTTCATCACCGAAAAAGCAAACCTGAAAACAGAGAACACTGTATATTGACCCAAACGAACACAAACAGTATGAGATTTCACAGAATCTCGAAGCAAACCATTAGAATCAAATCGATCTAAACAAGAGCTTCCGACCCCAACCAACACAGCGCAAATCATATTTTCACATAGAATTCGAGGTCACAATCACACAATTAAATATGAAATCAAATTGAAATAGAAGAAGCCAACTATCTCAGGTAGTCTGCTTCCACCAGAAACAAGATACCTGAGTTTGATCGAATTTGATCGAATAATATGCAGGTGAGATGAAGTAACAGGTGGAAAAGGCTATGCAACCGACATAATAAAAAAGAAAAAACCTGAAATAGAAGAAATAATTTGCATTCCAGTCCCTTTTCTTTTTCTTTGTATCATTTAAGTTCCTAAAAGCAAGAAATAAAACTTCATTAGTTTTCAATCAAGTATGTTTGCCTTATTTTTTATTTAACATTTATATTTTTTTTTCTTCAAATTTTTATTTAATATATTTAAATTTTTTGTCATTTATTTATCTTCTTAATTTTCTTCAAATTTTATAATTATTTATTTTCATATTTCTTGTTGAATTCATTAACTTATTTTAAAATATCTAGTAAAAATTGATTTATGACACAGGTAAAATCAATTATACATGTTTGTTTCTTGAAATCCCAAGAAAATGGCACCCCCCCCCCCCCCCTCAAGGCATGACGAATTGACGATCCACAATTTACAGAGAAATGAATAGGTTTTTTTTTTTTTTGGGGGGCTAAGAAATGATTAGGATTCAAAACTCTCTACTTGATCCTCAAGTATTTTTGGGTTCAATTGAACTATCAATTTCTTTCTCTCTAACCATGGCACTTGGTACAACTTCTAACCATGATTTCAAGGCCATAAAACATTTTGAAAGTTTATCATTTTCTTGATCTTTACATGAATATCATAAACTTTATTATCAAAAGTCAAGCATGTTTAAAATTATACTAAAAAATTGTATAAAATTAAAAAAAATATCAATATATTCTAAGTGTATCAAGTGACATGCTGTAGAATTTGGGTGTGGATCCATAATTAAAAGTTTATCATTTTCTTGATATCGAGACATCAAATGACAAGATTTTAGAGGGATTTTAAAAGAATATTAGGTATTTATTAGAGGTCTTTTTTAAAAAGAAAATTGAATAATTTTTATAATATAGTAAAATAGTAAGATTATAAAATTTTATTCTATTTTAATTTATTGTTCTTTTAATTATTTAACTAAATAAAAAAATATTACACTCCTTGGGCTATTGTTAAGACCACATAAATTTTTTAAGTCACAAAAATTGTCAAATTTTTATCTTAATTTAATTATTAAAAACAATTTCATAATTAATAAGATAGTTAATATTTATTATGTAAATGTTAAAATCAACTTATAAATAAATATTTAAATATTATAGGGGAGATTGTGATTTTCATAATTGTGGTATGAGAAAACAACATATAAAAATTTGAAGTTTTAAAATATGTATATAAAGATAAAAAAAATATGTGTATAATATATTTGTGATTTTAGACATATACAAATGAAAACTCTACATATTAAAATATACACATAAATAGCTAAGATTAATGCTTAGTGCAAATAACTACTTAAAATTTTTTAAAGCTCATAACTTAAAAGAATGAGTGGGAAAGAACAACAAGGGTATTTAGGATAATTTTAAATGGTTATGTATACCTAATACAAATCTTACATCCTTATTTACATACTTTAAAATCTTAAGTTTTTCCATACACTAACTCTAAATCTCAAATAACTAAAATATAATTTTTTTCAACTATTAAAAAAACCCATATACTAATAAAATTACATTTAAAAAATATGATCTTAACAAAATTTTGAACGACAATAATAACCATAGCCCTCACAACTCTTATAGTCCTCTCCTCTCCTCTACTCTTTATTAATCTAAACAAAATTAACACCATTTAATAATAATAATAATAATAATAATAATAATAATAATAATAATAATAATAATAATACCTATTATTTCTTTTATTTTTAATAATTTTAATATAACTTTTTAACTTTTTTAATGTAAATTTTAAATAAAAATTTAATATAATATATATAATAATTAACAAATTTTATCAAATAAAATACTCAATAAAAAGAGTATATAAGGAATTTTTTAATTATAATTTATATATAATTTTTTAAAATTTTATTTAAAATTCATATTTAAAAAATAAAAAAAATTAAACTAAAACAGGTAAACAGTACTAATTTTTATTAAAAAATAAATAAATAAAGGGATTAGTTAGCAATTATGGGTTTTCCCCTGAAGGATTGTGAATGAGAAGAAGCTACCAGCCCGCATTTCACCAGCCATAATATATAAAATCCATCTGAAACGAGAAACCTGATTCAAGTCTCTGTGTTTCCATGGGAGCCCGTTCCATAACCCATATCGCACTGGTACGTTCTGGAATTTCTCCTCTCAAAAATTCCCAGTTTTTCTTCCTCAATTTATTTTTCTTATTAAAAAAGAATATATTTTGTTGGTTTTGATTAAATTTAGGTCTTCAAAAGATTCATGATGGGTTAGATCTCAATTATAGCAGGATTAATAACTAAATTATGATATTGTTTATCAGTTGATTTAGTTTTCAGATTTACTTTTTCTGTTCCATTTTAAGTTATTATATTAAATACCAAAATTATGGGTTGTTATGGATGTTAGGAATTAGGAGATCTATGTTTTGAAACCGTTCGCATATGAGATCAGTTATATTTTTAGCTTATTTGTGCAGGTTATGATCAATGTTTTTCTTGTCGGAGCAACCATACTGGATGCCAGAACACAGTAAGATCTTTGATGGGTATTTCTATTTTTAGATATAGAACTTCAAATTTTTATTTTTGAGTATTTTTAATGGTTTTGATATTGGGTTTAACTTTATTTCTTCAGCCAAAGACGAGTGAAAGCAGATCGGCCCTTACGCCTTGAAAAGGTCTCATTCTCATCTGTTGTTTAGTATTAATAGTTAGCTTTGACCTTAAAATGTTCCATATTTTGAATTTAGTTGAGTTACAGTTACTGCATTCTGTATGCATTTCTCGATTTTTAGCTGCCTGTGGCAAAAGTACATCTATTCATGGAAAATAGCACAATGATAAGATGGCTTTTGATTTAGCTGAAAATACAGCTTTAAATGGTGAAGATCCTGAAAGAAGTATTTATATGTCTGGTACAATCTTTTAGTTCTTTAGTTTTGGTTGCCACAGTAGCCTGCCTGGCATATCATTTTGTATGAAATCAGAAAACTTGAGTCTCTGCATAATTTTTTGCATTGAATGATTTGTGTTTGTAAATGCTCTTGCTGCATAAACTTGTCCCTCGCTTCCATTAAGTCCAATGATGACTGAGCAGGAACAGGAGACTTCTTCAGCTTCTGTAATGTTAAATGATGATGAAAAGGTAAATGACTGAGTTCAATCTCTTTCACAACTTATAGGAATGGTGCTCATATATATATTCGTTCCATCCAGGATATTGACATAATTGCAACTTATACTGATGCTAGTGGAACTCTTCAAGCAACTAGAGTTAAAATGAAGGACCTTTCTGCTTCATGGGTTTTGGAAAACCCTGCTGATGGAGGCAATGACCAGCAAAAGGGTTTGCAGGTATCACCTGTATTTAATTTTCAATATCAAGCTTTTGATATAAATGTTGTTAAAAAGAAAAAGCTTTTGGTATTAATAATTTTGCCAAAGAAAATTCATTCTATCATATCAAGAACAATTCAGTGCTTCATAGTACTTTGTCCATAACTATGATTTAAATTGCAATAGTACATGGTTGGCTAGAATGTCACTGCAGCTGAACCAAATACAAGGTTGTGATTCCAGTACTTGTCATCTTCCTGTATAAGGCTTAAACAATTTTTGCAATTAATGAAGCTGAATAATAACAGTTCATGTGACCTACTTCTTTAAATTTTTTCAGGTACTGAAACTGAAAGATTCATATCAAGCAGGTAAAACACTTGAGGAGAGTCTTCAGAATGCTATGGTTGATCATCAGCCAGTAGAAGGTGAAATTCAGTATGCTCACGTAGCATCAATGAACCCTGTTAAGCTCAGGCGTTGGGTAAATATCAAATGCTACTATATAAGTGCTTCATCTATTTCACTTAGCTGATCTGGATTTGTGATGGTTTTAAGCCCTTCAGGCTTTACGGCTGAAAAGGAGGGATTTGCGTGTTGCAGAACTAATTAAACAAGATAAAGAAGCTGACAAGCAGATACAAGTAGTATTGGCAGCTGTTAAACAGTCTAAAAATGCTGATACTCATGTCAAGGGAAAGTATAGTATATGGAGGAGAGATTTTGAAAGTCTAAATTCTGATTCTGTGTTGAAGCTTATGCGGGACCAGATCATTATGGCTAAGACTTACGCAAATATTGCAAAATCTAAGAATCAAAGTGATCTTTACAATTCGCTGATGGAACATATTAGAGGAAGTCTACATGTTATTGGAGAAGCAAATTCTGATGCTGAGCTACATCCTAGGTAGCATTCTTTCATGTCCACTATTTGGGTTATTATGTACGTTACATTGTTCTTTCTTCTAACGCTAACTCTTATATTCCTTTTCAGCTCACTTGATCGAGCAAAAGCAATGGGTCATGTTCTCTCTATTGCAAAAGATCAACTTTATGATTGTCATGCAGTTGCAAGGAAACTTCGGGTAATGCTCCAGTCAACAGAAGAAAATGTAAGTTCACTGAAGAAAAGGAGTGCCTTCTTGATTCAATTAGCTGCAAAAACTGTCCCAAAACCTTTGCATTGCCTGCCTCTGCAGCTAGCAGCTGACTACTTCCTTCACAGAGATCAAAACACTAAGGATATTAATAAAGAAAAGCTTGAAGATCCTTCTCTTTACCATTATGCCATCTTTTCAGATAATGTCCTGGCAACATCTGTGGTTGTGAATTCTACAGTGCTGCATGCAAATGAACCAGAGAAACATGTTTTTCATATCGTAACTGATAAACTGAATTTTGCTGCGATGAAAAGGTGGTTTCTTGTAAATGCTCCCGAGAAAGCAGCAGTCCAAGTTGAGAACATTGATGGTTTCAAGTGGTTAAATTCCTCCTACTGTTCCGTTCTACGTCAATTGGAATCTGCCAGGGTTAAAGAATATTATTTCAAGGCAAATCATCCATCCTCTCTCTCTATTGGATCTGACCATCTCAAATACAGGAATCCAAAATATTTATCAATGCTGAATCATCTTAGATTCTACCTTCCTGAAGTTTATCCAAAGCTAGAGAAGATCCTATTTTTGGATGATGATATTGTAGTTCAAAAGGATTTGACTGCTCTATGGTCTATTGATCTGCAAGGAATGGTGAATGGTGCAGTGGATACCTGCAAAGAAAGCTTTCACCGGTTTGATAAGTATCTTAACTTCTCTAATCCGAAAATATCTGAGAATTTCAATCCAAATGCTTGTGGTTGGGCATTTGGCATGAATATCTTTGATTTGAAGGAATGGAGGAAGCGAAACATCACTGGCATTTATCATCATTGGCAAGATTTGGTAAAACTTCACTAGTCCTTTCTTATCTCTTAATTCCTATTGAATTGTTCTCTGTTATTCAAGATTTTTCTCTTTCAGATTTTCATTTTAACGTGAAACCTTGTTTTCTTTTGGTCTGCTACTGTAGTGTGCTATATGATATCAAAATAAAATGCACACATAGAAATATATCTGGCAAAAATGACATGAATACAATCTACTCCTGCATGTCGTTTGTTTTTTGTTATTAAAGATTGCAACTAACATTGAAACCATTGTGCAGAATGAGGATAGAACTCTTTGGAAACTTGGCACGTTGCCACCAGGACTGATTACCTTCTATAACCTAACCTTTCCGCTCGATCGAAACTGGCATGTTCTGGGACTTGGGTATGATCCAGCCTTAAACCACACAGAGATAGAGAATGCAGCTGTTATCCATTACAATGGAAATTACAAACCATGGTTAGATTTGGCTGTCACCAAGTACAAGTCATACTGGTCTAAATATGTAATGTTTAATAACTACTATCTTCAACTCTGCAACATTAGTGAATAGCACCTCTTTTCTGTTCTTCTTCTTTTCCCCGTCTCAAACATTCACACTTGTAATCCTTGACGATATTTGAGAAATAGAAAAGAGTTTAATGCTCTGTTGCCCTTATGTGATTGGATCATATTTGCAATTTGTGTTTTTGTTAATCTTTGTTCCCGTCTAGCCATTTTACCTTCCATGTTTCTCAATGCTTCTGTCTAGCCATTTTGGATGGAAGCCGAGTCATATCCTTATTACTTGTGTTTTTCAGTCGTCTTGCTCTCCCTTATATTGAGTGAGGAGATTCCAAATTTCCAACCCATCTCTCGAAGATTGGAAGATATACCCTAAGCTACAAGCTTAGGCGCTGGATCATCTGCCTCTGGTTACGGTAGCACTCATTTCTTGTCTAAACTGTAACAAGCAATGCTGTTAATTAAATGTACTTTCCTATGTGCTGGCTTCCTGTCATAGTTTGAACTTCAAGATTTAATGAGAACTAGAGAACATTGTTCTTCCGACACTTACTTCTTTCCCTGGAACATCTGGGCTGGCCGACAATGTACAGACCTCTCGTGTGTATTGTGAAAAGCACCTTCATAAAGGATGATGTTCGAAGGAAGTGGGGCATTGTCTCAGCTCTCGCTACTGCTGAAAAATGTTGTCCTTTTCTTTTCCTTCTTGTGAGAAAATAAAGAGAGAAAATACAAAAAAAGTGATTTTTTTTTTATTCTACTGAATATATATAATATATATATTATAAGTCTATACGAATGAATATTTTATTGTATAAATTCAATCAATTATAATGTGAATCTAACCAACATAATATAATATTAATATTTTGTAACACTTCCTATGCAACTATGGTGCCATTGATCAATTAGATCTTTTATTTGATTGGCAAATAACATGCAGACAGTATAAATTTACTCTTTTTTTTTCTTGATTAAATGCTAATTTTGATTCTCAACTTTAAGGTTTTACACAATTTTTATCTCTTAGTTTTTTGCATATTTTTTTTGTCCTTTAACTATGAAAAATGCACTTTTTTTAGCTTCACCGTCAGTTAATCCGTTAAGTCTATTTAAATCTGCACTTTTTTCATAATTAAGGGACCAAAAAAGTATATAAAAAAGTTAAAAGATGAAAATTATGCAAAATCTTAAAGTTGAGGGGCCAAAATTGGCATTTAACCTTTTCTTTTTTTCGACATCACTAATGCTATAGGTTTCAATCCAAAAAATAACAAAGTACATGTTGCTATGATTGATGTCCCAACTATGATAGGAAGTGCACAAAAATGGATTAATGCATAAAATAGTAACCTTCATAAGTCAAGTGTCACTCTTCCTCTTCCTCACACTGTCAATGGGTAACAAGGTTGCATCTAGACCAAGTACATTTAAGAGCTAGATGATCTTCACAAGAGACTGACCACAATCAACACATTGAGGGGAATATGGATCCTTGGCCTGCTAGTAAACCTAGCCATGTGGTTTTAGAGTCAATAGTAAGGTTATTGGGCTTAACAAAAATGGTAGGAGCAATACACACTAATAAAAATCATTTAAACGATTAGTAATCAAAGACAAGTACTTATCTGTTATATATCATCATTTGTTATGGATACCATGGCCCAAAGCACCAACCTATCACTATGATCAATTTTGGATAAGGAAAATGTCTTGACTGGCTCAAACTTCTAGGAGTAGTATTGGTATCCTTGCATCATGCTATATCAAGAAAGGAAGTTCTAGGTGCTAGAGAACCCCATGCCTACTAAACCCCTTAAAGATGGCCTTCAAAAGTAAAGGATGCCCATAAGAAACACATGGATGAATCATTGCATGTCTAATGCATATGTTATCTATAATGACCTCTGAACTTCAAAAGCAACATGAGGACATGGATGCCCCATCCATTCTACTACACCTCAAAGTGTTTTATGCTGAAAGGGTTAGGCAAGAGAGATACGAGATCTCGAGTGTACTCTTCACATGCAAAATGGTGGAGGGATCACCTACTGGTCATCATGTACTCAAGATGATAAGATATATTGATAGACTTGCCATTAATTTGATCTTGTCATCATTTCCAAAAAGATACTCCTATTTCATTGTTAACTTTAACATAAACAATATGCAGAAGACTCTCCCAGAGTGATTGAGAATGAGTTGCCAAATTGAGAAGGACACAAGGAAAGGAAAACCCACAAAAGTCCTTTTGGTGAATCAAAAGGGTAAGGGCAAAGCTAAGTCTCCTAAGGCAAGAGTAAAGCAAAAGGCAAATGTAGTACACCTAGCAAGAAGGCTAAGATTGAAAAGAGAGGAATGAGCAACAGGTAATGTGTTTCCATTGTGGCAAGAAATATGGCATTGGAAAAGGACCTTTGTGCATTTGAAGAAGAAGCAAGGATACACATCTTTTTTAGGTATATTTGTTATCAAAAGCAACTTATCTATCTGCACTTCATGGGTATTGGATACCAGTTGTGGTTCTCATATTTGTATTAATGTGCAAGAACCAAGTAAGTTTAGGAATCTCTCCAAAGGCAAGGTAGACTTACGTGTGGGGAATGGAGTGAGAGTAGTGGTATTAGTTGTTGGGACTTATAGTCTTTGCTTAGTGAATTAGTTTTGGTTCTAGAACATTGCTATTATGTGCAAGTATTTCTAGAAATATTATTTCTATGTCAAAACTAAAAACAAAAGGTTTTTTTGTTTATATTTAAGAGTGATTCAATTTTTTATTTAAAAAGATATGTGTTATGGAATGACACAATTAAATAATGACTTGTATGTTCTAGACTTGGAGAAACCTATATTATGCATTAATAACAAGAAACATAAATTCTAGGACTCAAGGCAAACCTCCCTATGGATCATGGCATTGTAGACTTGGCCATGTGAATGAGAAGCAGTTGGCAAAACTCCTTTAAGAAGAGTAATTACAGTATTTCGACTTAGCTCCTCTTGAGATATGGCATGCTTGTTTACAAGGAAAAATGGTTAAGGAACCTTTTAGTGGTAAAGGGGTAAGAGCCATCAGTGCTTTTACTATGATTTCATTACTAAATAAATTTAAGTTAACAATAATGGCAATCTTGTAATTAAACAATCATTAAGGCTAATTTGTATTGAAATTTTGGTCCACCTCATTATTTTTGACCATGTGGAATTTCTTTGTCATTTATATATATATATATATATAAATTGTTTTCCATTAGTTAACTTGATATGTTAATAAAAAGTTAATGAACGGACCAAAAAAGAGTCGAAATGTCAAATTTTAGAGATCAAATTAAAGATTTTTAAAGTTAAGGAACTAAGTCAAAAGTCTATACAATTGTTGAGGGACCAAATTAAAGATTTAACCTTTGATTTATTGCTTCCGCTGTGCAATTTTAAAACCAACAATTGTAACAATGGATTTCAATAATTGAAGGGGATTTCAATAATTGAAGGTGTATGAACAACAACAACAATTAATGTAACTATTGCTAACGGTTTTTTTAACATCTGAGAGTTGAAGGAGAGGTTTATATCTAAAGTAAATTTTTAAGCAAGTGACTTAAGAAATGGATTAAACATAAATTGTGGTAAACTACTACAAATCTTTGTATTTGAAGTTCTTTTTCGTTTACTTTTAATTCTTCATAATTTACTCAACACTTGAATTTGTTTGTGATTCATGTGAGTGTTTATTTATTTGCTTTAAAAAATTGCATAAATTTTTGAAAACTCATTTTACCCCGCCGTCTGAGTTGTGATCATCTAGAACAACATCCCTACCTTTAGTCTGATCCTAATTCTGCTACTAGTTTTATTTTATCTTAAGATTTTGTGTCAAAAACTCAATTGCATACCAAATAAAGTCTTGAAGAAAATGACACAGTGTCTGGCATAAAATCATCTCACTCACCTTTATTTGTGTACCCTAAAAAAAAATAATAAAAACAATTAATTTGAGATAAGTTAAAAGTACAATAGTTATTTTGAAATAGAATAAATAATTTTTAAAAAATCAAAAAATAACAATTATTTTGAAATAAAAAGGATAATCTCTTTTCTCACTTTAGAGTGAGAGGCTTTTGGACATGAGAATAATTAGATGAGTAAAGGAATAAAAAGAATTGTTTCCTATTATGTTCTTAAATTTCTTTTTAAATAGTAGAAATCAACTCATTTATTTTTATTTTAATTAAAATATTTTCTTTTTGGCACTACCCAAACATGAATTAGATTTTACTCAAAATTCAGAAAGAAAACTTTTAAAGGTAGTTGGGTTAAAGGCTAATATTATTAGGAAAGTTTTATTAGGAATGTATTTGAAAAAGTATTATATAGAAAATATAGAAAAATTTTATAATGAAGTTTTGTTGAAATTTTGTTAGATTATTAACTTTATTTATTTGGTAAGAAATTAAAATAGGAAAGTTGGAAAGAAAGTACTCAAGTGAATTTGATGAGAAAAGCTATAAATAGAAATTCTAACTTTGTATTTTTTTATTTAAAAATATTAATTTTATTAGTTTTTAAATAAGAATGTTAATTTTTATTTTTTTTATTTAAAAATATCAACTTTCAACTTTTAACTTTCAACTTTTCCTATTTAAAAATTAATTGAATAATAATACTAACATAGCAAACAAATTTTTTAACTAGAATGTTGAAAGTTAGCATTTTTAAATTAAAAAAAATTAAAAATTAACATTCTTAATTAAAAAAAAATTGAAAGTTAATATTTTTAAATACAAAAAATTAAATGTTAGTAGCTTTATTTAGAAAATGACAAAATTAATATTTTTAAATAAAAAAATACAAAATTAATATCCTTATTTGTACATTTTTTCTTAATTTCACATAAAGAAAGTTTAGGAGAATTTTTTTTCTCTCAAAAAAATTTATGAGTTAAAAATTAAGTTAAGAAAAATAAAGATATAAAATATTACTTTTAATGTTATTTTATTATAATATTAACATATAAAAATATATAAATAATCATATAAAAAAATGAAATTTTAGAAGGAAAATTTCGTCCGAACCAAACATGTCCTTATCTAAAAAAATATTGCCACATTAGTGAGACCAGGAGAGCATTCTGTTTTTAAATCTCCGACCACGGTTTCCTGTAAAATTTTTGCTGTTTACAGTTTTATTCAATATCTTTTAAAATCCCTTTGACCTTAACTAATAACAGAAAACTGATAAAAACAATGGAAGACGAAAGCTAGGATTTTGTACTTGCACTCAATTTTTCCTTTTTTTAGTTGCAAGAGATAAAACTGTTTGAATATCCAAAAGGACCGTCCA